AAGTATAGTCAGAATAGACAAAATTGGTAGTTGGCCCAGCCCCCATATTGGGTTCTTGACCTGTGGGGTAAGAGCCATCTTATGCAGGAAGATCAAGTGAAAGCAATTGATACCACCCACCCATTTCACCCTCTCCCCAAGGCAAATCAAGTAAATTTAAAGAAAAAAAACTACCACAATATCTCCCGGGGAGAGAGAGGAACATGAAAATTAGTGCCGCTCAAATAGCTAAAGACATTGGAGTGGTAATCCCTATTATATTTCCATTAAATTCTTATCTGCCTACTATAAAAATTAGAAGGATTCTGAAGAACTACAGTATACCACTGGAAAAAAAAAAAAAATCTTAGTTCCTATTGCAGCCATTGTACCAGATGTGGTATCTTTGCTAGGGCAGATTAATGTGAGTTCAAGTAAATGAGGTCACTGATTCGGCAAAGATCCTTCTTTCCTTTCCTAGCAGAAACAGTTTGCATACACATGGAAGGTGTCAGGAGTGTACATTTGCAGGTTTGTTTTTGGGCTATGATAACCCTCCCACCCATGTCATAATAGAGTCTGAATATATCTTGACCATCTGGATACCCACAGAACATGACATTGATCCGATATATCAATGGCATCATGTTAATTCCCCCAGATAAGCAAGAGGTATTAGCATGATGATGCTCCAAAGTAAAAAATAAAACAAAAAATAGAGTCAGGTGTTTGCCACATCAATAAAATTTTCAGAGGTCCAAGGTTCAGGGAACACTAAGATATCCCATCCAAACTAAAGTCAAATTATTGCAAATTGCACATCCCACTCTGAAGAATGTAGTACAGCACCTAAATAGGACTTTTCAGATTCTAGAGGCAGCGTAATTCATACTTGGGGATGGTGCTCCAACCCATAGGCTAGGGGGGACAAATGATTGCCAGGTTTGAGTGGGGCCCATGGTAGGAAAGTGCTCAACAGCAGGTCTAGTCTGCAGTGAAATTACCCTGTTGCTTGAGCCTTAGGACCCAGCAGAGCCTAGTGTATTGAAGGTGGTTGTAGTAGGAAAAGATGCAAACATCAACAGGACATTTACACCATAGACCACTGAGATTGTGAAGCAAGGCCATGCACTGCAGTAGAGGACTGTATGCTTTCTGAAATATAACTCTTGGCATGTTACCACGTCCTGATAGAGAAAGCTCCCGACAGTGGGTCATCAAGTGATCATGCAGCCAGAATCACCCATCATGAGCCAAGTCTGTCAGACCCATCAGGTTATAAGGTTAAGCAGGCAACCATTCATTATAAGATGGAAGTAGAGCATCTGGGATTGAGCATGGGCAGGACAAGCTGGCACAGGCAAGCTGCACAAATAGAAAGCCCAATTCCTACCTGTGCCCAGCCACTGTGGCAGGAGTGCCTCTTCTTTAGCTCACAGTTGTGGCTGTAGCAGTTATCCAATATAACCAACTGTCTGGATGGGGAAAACTCTGAGCGTGGTTCACAAATATTTTTGGTATTGTAAACCAAAAATAAAATTCTAAGGTCCCCCAACCATCTGAATGGACCCCTCCTCTGGGCCAAGAGCATTTCAGAGTTAACCTGAACATCTTGTTCAGGCCATGATGGAAGAGAGGGTTGGACATTCCCCATTATACCCATCCAACATTAACATCAACACAGATCTTAAATCTAATAAGAAACATTTATGGCTCAGCACGGTGGTTCATGCCTGTAACCCCAGCACTTCAGGAGGCCGAGGTGGGCAGATCACTTCAGGTCAGGAGTTCAATAACAGCCCGGCCAACATGGTGAAACCCTGTCTCTACTAAAAATACAAAAATTAGCTGGGCACAGTGGCATGTGCCTGTAATCCCAGCTACTTAGGAGGCTGAGGCAGGAGAATGTCTTGAACCCAGGAGGTGGAGGTTGCTATGAGCTGAGATTGCATCACTGCACTCCAGTCTAGGCAACAGGGTGAAACTCTGTCTCAAAACAAAACAAAGCAAAACAAAACAAATCTCCACAACCTCTTATCATAAACCAGATATTCCTTTCTTCTGGTAATAATTCAACCAATTGCCAATCAGAAAATCTACCTATGATCCAGAAGCCCAGCCCCACTCCCCCTTCCCCGACACCACTTTGAGTTCTCCCACCCTTCCAGATCAAACCAGTGTAAATCTTACATGTATTATGTCTCCCTAAAATGTATTAAAGCAAGCTGTACCCCTACCACCTTGGCCACAGTCATCAGGACCTCCTGAGGCTGTCTCACAGCCACATCCTCAACCTCAGCAACATAAATTTTCTAAATTGATTGAGACCTGTCTCAGATATTTTGGGTTCACAGTATGTGTTGTAGAGAAGAGAGAGATCACCTCCATCTCAAATCCCCTTAGCTCTCATGTGGGCTCTTCAGCTGGATCTATAAATCAAATTGGCACTAGGTAGATTAATAAGGGAAAAGCACACAGATTTTATACATACATGGGGATCTTCCCAAGAGGGTAAAGTCTGAAGAAGTGGCCAAAGCAAGATATTTTATACTTTGTAAACAAAGAACAATAAATTTGAGAAGAAATGTCAGGACAAAGGGGATTTGGCTAGGAGCAATAAATTTCTAGGAGAGTCACTAGGAGATGTATAGGGAGGGGCTGTAAAACTAGTGGAAAATAAAAGCTACTTTGTGAATTTTAGTATTCAGGTCCACTGCAGCCCCTAATTCCCAGTCTCTGGTGATAAGGGCTATATACTTTCTTGCTCTAGAAAGGGTAGAGTACTGCTCCCAGAGGAATCTTTATGGCTTGTGCATGCAAAAAGAGACAAGACAGCTAGCCCTTTCTGAAACTTCAATTTCTCTAATGTTTTCAACTTGAAATATTCAACATACCAATTCAGCATATTTTGAGATGGCATATCCTTCACTTCTTTGGTCCTTCACTCCACTCCTAAAATGGAAGCCGCATTACAGCTCAATCAAGGTCAGTCTTGAAAGACAACTTGTAAGGGGTAATCTTCCTGAAAGGAAGTGCTATAGAGGGTACACCTAAAGAAAGTGGCCTAAGGATAGGCTAAATTAGGATTCAGGGCATGGAATGAATGGCTTGTCTGGTCAAGGTCCTACTCCTGTAAGGAGAAAGATTGGAAGATTGGGCACAAAGAGATCTGGGGTAGGAGCAAGTAAGTGGACATTTAAGAGTGGGCGGGAAGTGTGAAGATCTTTATTTTGTGTGTTAACACCAGAGCATCCTCAATAGAAAAGGTATTAAACAGCCAAGTAAAAAAAAGTCTCAGCTAGCTGAGGTAAGCCATTCTCTGTTATTGGCCTCATGGGTCCTGGCACAAGAGGAGGAGGAGCAGAGTGGTTGTGGTGGCATGCATGGAAGACAAGCATGGACCCAACAGCATGGGGTCCCACTCACCAAGGCTCATTGTTGTCACTGAATCTCCAACCTGCCAACAACAATGCTAAGTCCCTAGTATGATACTGTCACTTGAGGCAACCAAAAAGCTACTTACTAGCAAGTTGACTACATTGGACCTCTTCTATCGTGAAAGGAAGAGAAGTGTATTCTGATAGAACTAGACAAATATTGCAGGCATGGGTTTGCCTTTCTTCCTTGCAGAACCTCAGTCAGCACGGTCATCTTAAGGGTTATAGAGTGTCTGAACAATTGGCATTGACATAGGATCCACTACATCCAACTAGAAAACCCACTTACAGCAAAGACGATGTGTTGTTGGGACCATACTCACAGAATCCACTACTCAAATCACATACTGCATTACTCAGAACCTGCCGACCTGTGAAAACACCGAATGACCTATTAAAGGCACAGTTGAAGTGCCAGCTGGGAGGCAATGCTTGACAGTGATGGGACACTGTCTTCCAAAATGCTGTATTTATTTTAAATCATACTGACTTTTATACAGCTCTGGGTCCCCAGTAAAATAAATGCATTGGTCCAGGAACTAGGGGATGGAAGCATGAGCGGCCCCACTGGCCACCACTCTAAGTGACCTACTTGGGAAATTTGTGCTTCACATCTCTGAAGCTCTGGGACCCGCAGGTTTAAAAGGCCTGGTTGGCAAAGTGGGAACATTTCTGCAAGTGGGAGATAGGAGTTTTCCTGTTGATTAATAAGCTGCAACTAATGCTTAGTCACTTTGGGTTCCTAATAGGGGTAATGAGCCCTCACCATCGCTAGATAGAGATATCAAACACAAAGGGAGAAGGATGGAATGTGTTAACACTTGAGCCTTTTTTTTTTTTTTTTTTTTTTTTTTTTTTTTTTTTTTTTTTTTTTGACAAAGTCTTGCTCTGTTGCCCAGGCTGGAATGCAGTGGTGTGATCTTGGCTTACTGCAACTTCCACCTCCTGAGTTCAAGCAATTCTCCTGCCTCAGCCTCTTGAGTAACTGGGACTACAGGCCCACACCACCATACCCGGCTAATTTTTTGTATTTTTAATAGAGACCAGGTTTCGCCATATTGGCCAAGCTAGTCTCGAACTCCTGACTTCAGGTGATCTGCCCACTTCAGCCCCCCAAAGTGCTGGGATTACAGGCGTGAGCCACCATGCCTGGCCCACTTGAGCCTTTTGGAGAAGCAGAAGGAGGCATTTCACACTGGGTGATGGTCTGACTGGAGGGCTCAGAGGCAACAGAAGGCTGCTGTTTAAGGAAGAAGGAAGCGAGCTCAGAAAGGCAGGTTCAAATAGATTTTGACAGTTCTTCTTCTGCAGATTGAGACATATGGACCAGAAACAAGGGGAGAAAGAGAATAATACAAAGAAACAAAACACAGTACTTGAAAAGTCCAGCTTACATATTACATGCTGTCTATTTCACTGATTCAGAAAAGAGGAAACTGAGGTGGCCAAAAGAAAGGGAACACACAATGAGGAGGAAGGAGAAAGTTGGACCCATTCCAAGAATCATGCAAGGTATATGAATTTTTTTACCTAATTTTAAACCTTCTCTTAATAATCTCCATCACACTCATATGAAGAAACTCCCAGAATAAGATAATTCTATGAACTCTTACTGTCTCCACATGATGGTGCTCGGGGACTCCATGTGCCATCTGCTTGGCATGTAGCTGATCTTCTGATCCCATGACACGAAAATGAAATCTCATCTCCATAGAAATAAACACAGTGATTGGCAAGACGATTTTTCCTGTGTTGAGTGATTTGAGCACTATCTAGCTTTGGTTCAGGGCAACATAACGCTGAAAAATAAAACGTGAGGTGCATGGTTAGTAAAATCACCATGAGGAAGCTTCCATGGCTAACAACCCCATTTCCATCTTTGGAAGATCTCACCACTGAAGAGAGATTGGGAAAACAAAAAAGGAGACTCAGGACACTCCAAGTCTGCTCTTTTCCCCCTTATTTGCTAAAGTCCTCTAATCCAACTAAGCATTTCATTAGGAGGCTCCAAAATGAAAACCTATATGAAGACCCAGGTGTGGTAGCTCATGCTTATAAACCCAGTGCTTTGGGAGTTCAAGATGGGAGAATTGCTTGAGCCCAGGAGTTTGAGACCGGGCAACAGAGTGAGACCCTGTCTCTAAAAAATAAAAAAAAATTTAAAAAAATTTTAACCAATAGGAAAATGTAAATTTTCAAAATTATTCAAGAGCAATGACAAACAACATCCATTTACTTATGGCTTCATTATTAAACTCTCTTTTAACTTACACTTCTCAAGTCACAAAGAAGAAGAAAGTTTTCAAAAGTTTATATCCACCTAACAGCTAAAGCATACGAATAAATTTAAATTATTGCTTATTTCAAGGATTTTTCTTTTTTGATGCAAAATTTAAGACAAATAGCTATTTAAATGGCAAGATCTTGCTTTATCACTCAGGCTGGAGTACAGTGGCACAATTATGGCTCACTACAGTCTCAAACTCCTGGGTTCAAGCAATTCTCCCACCTCACCCTCCTGAGTAGCTGGGACTACAGGTATGTGCCACCACACCCACTAAGTTTTTTATTTTTTGGTAGACAAGGGGTCTCACTATGTTACCCAGGCTGGTCTCAAACTCCTGGCCTCAAGTGCTCCCCTCACCTCAGCTTCCCAAAGTTCTGGGGTCACAAATGTGAGCCATGACGCCTGGCCAAATTCTTTAATTTTTTAATATAGTAAGAGCTGCTATAGGGACATAAATTTTTATTCATTAGTAGCAATACTTCAAGAAAAATCTTGCTACTATCTGATGTAAGAGAAAACATCAAAACAGAATAAAACATTATATTCTCCATGTCAGTAACTCAACCAGTATTAAAATGGGGTCTTTTCTACATACTCAAACATTTCCAGTGCTCATTTGTTTAGGAATTATAATAAAAATACTCAGCAATCATATGGTTTGGATATTATAACAATAATAATATTTATGAAATGCTTTACAGTATAGAAAATACTTTTAAATATGTAAGTCATGAGTCTAAATTCACATTTGATCAGGTTTCATAACTTGGATAAATACTACTTCACTTCTGCTTTTAAAATTGTTAAAAATATTCTTTATTAAATAATTAAATCAATAAGACCATAGTGGGTCAAATAAATGTAACCAACTGGGTCCTGCTCTGTCATCCAGGCTGGAATGCAGTGGCATGACCTCGGCTCACTGCAGCCTTGGCCTCTTAGCCTCAAGTTATCCTCCTACCTCAGTGTCCTGAGTAGCTGGGTTTACAGGCATGTACCACCACATCCAGCTAATTTTTTAAATTATTTGTAGAGACAAGGGTCTCACTATATTGCCCAGGCTGGTCTCAAACTCGTGAGCTCAAGCAATCCTCCCGCCTCAGCCTCCCAAAGTACTGGGATTATAGGTATGAGCCACCGCATCTGGCCTAAACACAACTATAAAGGAGGTTTTTAAACATCTATAAGCAGTATTTTTTGTTATTTAAGTAATGGCAATAAGTTAATTATTAAGTATATTTTTAATTCAGTCCTTTCATTAAAATATTTTATTCTATTTCCCCAAAATGAGTCTGAATAACTGCAGTTAAACTTTGTTAAGCCTTAATACGAAATAAATAATCTTCTGACACGTTGATCTAAACTACCACTTTTCGTTATTTATGCATTTCACACATTGTTCAAATTCTGCCACGCAGCATAAAATTCCCTGTATTCTTGGCTTCAGTTACTTCACCTCTAAAGTAGCAAGGTTCTGATAGATGGGTATCTATCAGATAGATATTTCTGATAGAATGCATTTTCTTCCTCTGTTGTCTGTTCCACCGAGGCTCATAAAATAGTACCCACTTGTCCTTCAGTCCCTCACTCATTCCCACAAATAAAAGAGGTGCATCTCCTACCAGAGAAACTGGAGAAAGTCTCCTTTATATCCTTCCAAAGTGAGAATACTGAGTCACGAGTCAGGACTTGTCTTCTAGAGGGAGATCAGGAAGTCCTGCCATCTCATGACTCAAGAGGAATGAGACACAAGTCACCTTCCAGCTGGTTACATTCATGACTGTTTCACAAACTTGTCTTCTGCCAAACACCCTAAAGCCCATACTGGGGGGAGGTAAGGGCTATGAAGGAAGCCTGACTCTGACAATAGTTGAACTGTATTCTCCATTCCAATTTTACCAGTAAGAAGACTAAGACTTAATCTGCATACTGTTTGACTTCTGTGTCTACTTCTCATTTGATTCTGAACTGGAATAAGGAAAGGTTCCAATTTCTCAGTGCCTCAAACTGTAACATGTTTATGGTCTCCTTCTGGTACTAACGGTTCACTAATCTGTTCAATTAACTTAATTCTAAACTTGTTGTGAGGGATAAAATTATATTCATTTAAGGTAGAGAATCCTAGCACGTACTGGACGTTTAATATACAAAAATATTAAAAAACAAAAACTCACCCTCACATCCTTGGTATGGGGTCCATCTCAAATTTTTCTGACAAATCAAAGTCGTAGGTGCATCTGTAGTGGGTTTGTAGCCAGGATGACAGCGGTACCTTAATATAGTCCCAACAACATACACATCCTCTTTTTTCGGCCTAGGATATGTTTCCCAGGAAGCATGTGGAATGTCTGGTAAGTTAGTACAACTATCTACTCATGAAAGAAGAAGAAGAACAACAAAGGGACACTATTACTAGGGCTGCCACAGCAATCAATAAGCCTGTCCTATCAAAGGAGGTCATGTGTTCATTCAGCCTGGAACCAGCCTGCAAGGCCTGATGTATCAACCACACCAGAAAAGACACATGGACATTCTCTCAAATGTGCACACCTCCAGAGAGGCTCTTTACTAAGGGCACTCCCAAGTGGTTTCCATATGCTGTGCCAAGTATAATAATATTAATTCTCCTTCCTCTTCTTTACACTTCAGAGATTTCAGTTTCTGAACTGAAGCATGGCAGGAAAACTGTCACAAACAAATCTAACTATGTTTCCTGATTGATTGGGGAAAATAAACAAGAGCCATTCCCCTCATCCAGATGATACCAGGAATGGCTTGGCAAGAAAAAAAACAAACTCCAAGCATTTTCTGAGCCTGGGCCTTGGGTCTTGTCCTCTTCTCTCTTTCCCAATGCTACTGATTCATATGATATGGAAATATAATGGAAACATCTACCACATTGGATGTTTATCACTTTTTATCTTCAGATATTTGAAATGGAATATAAAAGTTCCTTTTTAACGGCATTATTGAGATTCAAGTCACGACAAATAAATTCACCCATTTAGGATGTGCAATTTGATGGTTTTTAGTATATACAGAGTTGTGCAACCATCACCATTAACTAATTTCAGAATATTTTTATCAACCCAAGACGAAACCTCATATTCATTATCAGTCACTCTCTATTTCCACCTCCCCCTAGGTCCTGACAACCACTAATCTATTTTTTTCTTTATGAATTTGCCTAATCTGAGCATTTTAAATAAATGGAATCACACAATACATGTACTTTTTGTTGCTGGCTTATTTCAGTTAGCATAATATTTTCAAGGTTCATCCACATTGTAGCGCACATTAGTACTTTTTATTTTTCATTTTTATTGTCAAATGATATAATCCATTTTATGGATAAACCACTTTTTGTTTATTCATTATTCAGTTGATGGGTATTTGGGTTCTTTGGCTATTATGAATAACGCTGCTATGAATCTTCATGTAAAATTTTTGTGTGTGGACATATGTTTTCATTTCTCTTGGGCAGATACCTAGGAGGGTAATTACTGAGTCATATGGTAGCTCCATGCTTAAACTTCAGAGGGACTGCAAAAACTCTTTTCCAAAATGGTCGCACCAATTTACATTCCTATTAGCAGTGTATGAGAGTTCTAATTTTTCCACATCCTCACCAACATTTGTTATTGTCTATCTTTTCTATTATAGCCATTCTACTGGATGTAAAGTGGTATCTGATTGTTACTAGAAGGCTATCCTTACAAGAAATACTAAAGGAAATTGTTCAAACTGAAAGCAGTTGACACCGGACAGTAATTTGAATCCACACAGAAAAACAATGAGCATCAGCAGAGGTCATTATGTCAGTAATTTGAAACCCAATATGATATATAATACTACTCCTTCCTTCTCTTAGCTGATTTAAACAGCAATTGCATAAAACAATATGTATATAATTGCATTATTAAGCCTATAACATAGAGAAATGCAATATATTTGACAATAACATCACAAGAAAGGTAGGAGGGAACAAAGCTGTATTGTAGTACAGAAGTGACACCAGATGGTAACTTAAATCTACAGGAAGAAATAAAGAGAGCTAGAAATGATGAATAAGAAGATTAACATAATAAACTCTATAAATATATACTTGCCCTCCTTTCTTCTCTCAGCTACTATAAAAGACATGAAACATGAAATTATATAAAACAATAATTATAAAAATATATTGTGCAGTTTGTAATATATGTAAGTGCAAAATATGTCGTTGGATTCTTGGTTGAGGTTTTTATCTTTCTGCACTTTGAATGTGCCATCTAGCTGCTTTCTAGCCTCCATTCCTTCTGATGAGGAATCAGATGTTAATCTTACTAGGGTTGCATTGTACATGATGTGTTGCTCTTCTCTTGCTGCTTTCAAGATTTTCTCTTCATTCTTGGTTTTCAACATTTTGATTATAATGTCTCCAGGTCTAGATCTTTTTGCATTTATCCTACTTAAGTTCAACAAGCTTCTTGGATATGTAGATTAATGTGTTGTTTTGTTTTCTGTTTCAGCGTTTTTTTTTGTTTTTGTTTTTGTTTTTTTGGCCAAATTTGTGATATTTTCAGCTGTTTTTCCTTTGTATAGTTTTTTAGCTCCTTTCTCTTTCTCTCATCTTTCTGGGATTCTCATTACACATATGTTGGTACACTTCATGGTGTCCCACATTTCTCTGATGCTGTTTATTTTTCCTCATTCTTTTTATCTCTGTGCTGCAGATTGCATAATCTCAATTTATATTTGAATTTACTGATTCTTTTTCCAACTCAAATCTACTGTCGAGTTCCTCTTTTGAATTTTTCATTTTACTTACTGCGTTTTTCAACTCTACAATTTCCATTATCTTTTTAAAATAATTTCTATCTTTATCAGTATTTTCTATTTGATTAAACACTGTCATAATACATTTCTTTAATTCTTTAAATATTGTTTCCTTTAGTTCTTGGGACATATTTATAATAGCTGCTTTGTAATTCTTTGAACTTTTCTGCTAAGTCCAATCTCTGGGCTCCCTCAAAAACAGTTTCTATTGTTGGCTTTTTCCCTTTACATGGGTCACTCTTTCCCGTTTCTTTGCATGTCTGACAATTTTTTTTTTTTTTTTTGGAAAACAGGACATGTTACATAATACATTGCAGCAACTTCGGATATTGATTCTCCGTTACCACTTTTAGGATCTGTTGTTGTTTCCTCATTTTCTTGTTTGTTTGTTTGTTTAGTGAAGTAATTGGACTAGTTCAGTTAAGTCTATTTCCTTCAAAGTGTGCAACATCTAACAGCATGCCTCAGAGAGCACAGACTTGGGCATGTACACAGTATTTTTAACTGCTAGGGATAACTGTGGTTTTCTCTTTGACTGTCTCTTTCTCATTGAGACTTTGGGTGGTCTACCTCTGTTGGTATTACATACAACTATTGGCCTCCAACAATTTTTATCTGATTGTTCTATTTTTTTCAACAACTCCCTGGGGCATAATATGCATCACAGTCTAATCCAATTAAAGTTCCTTGAAAGGGGCAGAGTGTTTACAGTCTTTGAAGCTTGCTCCAAATCTGCCCTGGAAGAATGTCTGTCCTATAGATCAGGAGCTGGGGGAAATGAGAAAACTCATTCTTCTCCAGGCACTGCACTAGAGTTCTTCTTATGGTTTAGGAGCTGTGAGGAGAGAAAAGTGGGCAGTAGGAACAGGCACTGCCACAAAGCTGTGCCCACCACCAAGTACACATATTCCACAACCCAGAGCCAGAGAGAATACTAACTACCAATATTCATAGCTGTCAACCTACCCATAATAGTTCTTCCATTCTAGAAAGCTGGGGAAGATGGGAGATGCCACTTGGCTGCTGAGCCAACTGGAATAGTTCTCCTGCAACCTAGAGTCATGCAAAAAGCGGGGACTGAATTCTTTACCAACTGCCCCACTTAGATCCTCCCCATATAATGGGAGTTGGGGGTGAAGGAACAGACACTGACACCTGTTTGCTGGCACTTCTTCAATGTACGACTTCCACAGCATGGATCTCTGAAAAATGCTATCACATAATTTTCACGGGCTGCCAAATCCACCCCAAATAAATTTTCCCCAGGGAGCTGGGGAAGATGGGAATTGCCACTCATGAGCCCACAGAAACCATCCTCCCACAAGGTAGAGCTGTTGCAGCCACTAGTTCTAATGCAACGTCCTCTCACTGTTCCTATCAAGTTTCCATATTTTTGCTGAATAAATGCTTCTCAGTTTGTTGTAATCCCTTTGGTCAATCTCCAGAGACCTTGAATGGTTTTCTTTGCTAATTTTGACCAGCTTGGTGGATACCTCTTCAGGAGAGAGGTTTCCCCAAACTCCTCTACCTCTGTTCCAGAAATCCCCAGAAGTTCTTGGTATTTTGTGAGGGCAAAACTTAGAGCACAAGGCATCAGTGGCTTCCTTCCCTTACCAGTTGTATAACCTTGGGCAAGTCTTTTAAACTCTGTGAACAGTTTCTCATCTGTAACATAGGATAATCATAGTGCCCACAATTGTTGGGAAGATTCATTGAGTTAATCCTTGTTATGCACCTAGTCTAGTGCCAAGTTATCATTATTACTATTGTCATTATTTTTAATAATCCACATGAGTTTATAACTTCAGAGTGTTGGAATCACAACCAGTTCACACAATACTTTTGTACAAGTTATAAAAGGCATTTTTCCTCAGGACGCTTTATTATTTGTCTTTCAAAGTAATTATAATAATATAATGATTTTGTCAGAATAAGACAGCTTTCTATCAACTTCCAGAAAATTGTTGAAATAAATATACAAATCCACAAATATCTACAATGTTAACACCTCCCTTTAAGGTTGGAATGTGCCCAGTCTTGTGGTATGTGGCAGTCTTGTGTGATGATATATGACCTCGCAGAGTGTATTAAAATCATTTTTCTTTCCAACAAGAAAAAAATAAAGGAAATTATTGATCTAGATGTAAATTTTTACTGTAATTCGTAGTGGGCCTATGCATGCAAGTATACCCATATTAACAGTACTGGTTACCTTTAGATGTCAAACATTGAAATTCCTTCATAGTCCATACTTACTGGGCTCACAAGCAGGAGGAGAAGGATCCCATTTGCTATCAGCACCACAACGAATTACACTGCTGCCTCTGAGAACAAAACCTTTTTGGCAGTTAAACACAATAGCGTCTTTGTAATTATAGATGGGTCCAAATCCAGAGACAATTTCCCCATGTGAAACATCTGGCTTGTGACAGGTGACTTCTAAAGAATCATGAGAAAAGACAAGTGGATTTTAAAAGGTAAATGGTAATAATGATATTATTGCCACTGCTAATCCAGTTACAAGTGCAACACAAATGCCTGATGAATGTTCATGTCAAGTAGATACAAGGGAAACATTTTAAAGTGAATACACATACACAAACACATACATATATAATATGGCTGTATATATTTTATTTATATATATATGTGCTTCTTTTAGTACTAGTTTTTATTGGTGGAGAAGTTGAAGAAGTTATCCACAATTACCTCATAGAAAGACCAATGTGATGAAAACTCATTTTACTGAGGCTTTTAAAAGCTGAAATTATTTATATTATGTTAATAATATATATAATACTATATATTTTATATATTATACAATATAGTATTATAGAATATATAATATACTAATAGTATTATATATTATAATTTTATTACATTTGATATAATGTATATTTATATATACATATAAGTATGTGTGTGTGTATATATATAAAATATGTAATTTCAGCTTTTAAAATGAGTTTTCATTACATTGGTCCTTCTTCGAGATGATTGTGGATAGCTCCTTCAAATTCCCTACCAATAAAAGTCAGTCATACATAACCCAGCAGAAACATATTTCTAAGGCCCCCAAAACTTTCAATATAATGGCCTAATTTCCTAGATGATTTTGGTTATGGGTCAGTGACCCATAGTAATTACATAGTGCAGAGGCAGCCCAGGGGATCAGAGACCCATTCTCCAACAAGCAGAGAACAAACTACACCCTATCCCACACCCCTCACCCACATCCTGGCAGTCATCCAATCCTGTCAATTCTGCCACTTTAATTCCTCTACAATCCCTTAACTTCTCTCCAGCCCGACTGCCACGCTACAGCTGAAGTCACCTTCAGTTTTTGGCTGGAGGGTTGCACAGTTGCTGTCTTAGTCTGTTCCTGCTGCTGTAAGAAAATACTTTTGCTAGTTTATAAATGATGGAAATTTATTTCTCACAGTTCTGGAGGCTGGGAAGTTCAAGATCTAGCCACCATCAGATTCAATGTCTGCTTGCTCTCTCCTTTCAAGATGGTGCCTTCTTGCTGCGTCCTCACATCGGGGAAGGGATGAATGCTCTGTCCTCACAAGACAGAAGGGCAAAAGAGACTAGGGCTCTCCCTTCCACCTCTTTTATAAGGGCACTAATCCCATTCCTGAGGGTGGATCCCTCATGACTTAATCACTTCCCCAAAAGTTCCACCTGTTAAAATGATCACATTGGGTCTTAGGTTTTATCATGAGTTTGGAGGGACACATTCAAGCCATAACAGGTGACTGTCAGTTAAGTTTTGTCCTACTTCAGGTTGTTGTCCCACAGCCAGAGTTATCTTTCTAAAATGCAGCACATTTATTCGCCTCGTCAAAGCCTTTCAAAGTCTCCCCTTCATGATTGTTCTGAGATCCAGAGACTGAAACACAAGGTCCTTCATAACCTGGCCCCTGCCCACTTTTCTGCCCTCAGCTATTGCCACTTCTGATTGTTGCAGATCTAACTCCAGGCATTTTGCACTGTTGGCAGTATCCTGCTCTTTTGTGCCCCTCATCTGATTGTGTCCTGTGGTGGGTTAGTAAGCAATATTGTGTAAACTTAGTAGTAAAGTCAGTAAACTCAGATTCCTTAGACTAGCTAACTAATATATGTTTTGACTCAATTATCACTTGCTTTGTCCTATTGCCCTTCTGGCACTTAGTAGGTTTTGCTTGCCCTACAGGCATATGTGTTTCATCTTATAGGTGCAAATTATATTTTCAGTTCCACTTCTTGAACAGACTGAGACTACGTTCCCCAGTCCTCTGAGGCTACTTTCTAGTTCTAGACAAAAGGCTGGAATGGAAAGTGATATATGGTTGCTTCCAGGCCAAAGCTCTTAGCCAGGACACAATTGGCCTTTCTCTCTTCTTCTACTGAAGAGACTGTGAAAGCACATTTTGAAACGGAGGTGCCATAAGATCAAAGCAACCTGGCTTGCTGAGCTGGTTGCTAAGCCAGCACAGACTACAGCTGCCCTGGAGAGTCTCCTGGACATGAAACAAACTTAGTATGAATGAGAATAAACTTTTACTTCACCAAACCAGTGAGATGTTGTTGCTGTTTGTTCCCATATACTGTTAGCTCCCAGTTCACTACTCCCATTTTTATGGATTTTGTATTCTAAAACAACATGCAATAAGTATCAGGTGGCCAAATAAATGATTGCATCCGAGCAATAATTAGTTCATCTTTGAATTTTCCATTTTCCCCGCAATAAATTCACCTTTCTTTCTCTTTTAAACAAAAGAGAGCAAACATTTTGATGCAGAATTCATCATTCTGACTTACTTTCACAGGTAGGAGGACTTGGTCTCCAAACACCTGTTGTTTTATTCTCCACAGTGCAGGAAATGGAGGCATGGCCCAAGAGTGAGAAGCGGGAGTCACAGCTGTAGGTGACAGAAAAACCATATGTGTAGAAATCTTCTTCACCGCTGTGCCTTCCATTCCTGATGTCTGGAGGGGGTTCACACTTGACAACTGAGGTAAGTGAGTGAAGGGAAAGAAATACTCAGGGAAGGCATTGTGATAAATCTAAAATTCATGCAAATTCTAAGGGAAGGTACACATACCTGTAAAGATGCCCAGGGACTCTATTACCTAACAGAGTTTAAATTGATAGTCAAGTCAGAAGATCTTTACTTACTTTCACAGTGTGGGAGAGGATGACTCCAGCCAACTCCTCTATCTTGTACTTCACAATGACTAGTGGTTGAGCCAATTAAGACATATCTAAATAAGATAAATCAAAGATTTTGATGGAATTCCTCCTACCTTAAATTAAATTAAAGAGGTCTGAGTAAATAGAATGGTTACTCCATATTAAAATAAGCAAATCATATTTTCCTGGATATCATTTCCCATTGAGCACTCCATTCAGTAAAATTTCATTACTACAATGAGATGTGTGTGTTTGTTCCTTTGGACCCTCATTCCTTAATCTGTTACTATAAGCATCTACTAGGGATCAGGAATGCAGTTCATCCAGAGCTCAATCAAGCACAACAATAAAAGGCTTGCTTCGGTGTGTTCTGTGGTTGTCTTTGGTTGACAGTACCAGCTAGATTACTGACTCCACACTCTTCCCATCTTTGGCTCAAAGCTTCCTCTGACTTCCAGGTTGGTGTCTTATTCCCATACATCATTAGCTTTCAGTTCACCACTCCCATTTTTATGGCTCTTAATACGTCCTACTCTTTCCTCAGTTTGTCTTCCTGCCCTCTATCTTGTGCTAACAGAAAATTAAAAAACAAAAGATATTACTAGAATGATTACAAATTGTAGCATCATCAAGGATTTGATAATCATCAATGGTATCAAATTGTAGCATCATCAAGGAATAAACCTACAATGTGCTAGAACACTAAAGTAAATGTCATATTCAGCAATGTAAGAGTCTGTGGAATTTATTGAATAAGAACTTCAAGAAAATGGCCGGGCGCGGTGGCTCAAGCCTGTAATCCCAGCACTTTGGGAGGCCGAGACGGGTTGATCACGAGGTCAGGAGATCGAGACCATCCTGGCTCACATGGTGAAACCCCCATCTCTACTGAAAAAAAATACAAACAACTAGCCAGGCAAGGTGGCGGGCACCTGTAGTCCCAGCTACTCGGGAGGCTGAGGCAGGAGAATGGCGTAAACCCGGGAGGCGGAGCTTGCAGTGAGCTGAGATCCGGCCACTGCACTCCAGCCTGGGCGACAGAGCGAGACTCCGCCTCAAAAAAAAAAAAAAAAAAAAAAAAAAACACAATTAAGTATTTCTTTACTTTAAAATTTCTTTAAAATGTAGTTTTTCCAACCTAGCCCAGAGACTGAGTGCAAAATATTGTTTCTGGTTGTTTCAGTGGGAACACCTTAGTGTTCCAACAGCATCTTAGTTCTGATTCTTCTCACTTTCACTTATGAAGCCATACACAATAAGGAAAACAGAGGGTAAAAATGAGAAAATCAACAAAAATGAAACAAACAGAAAAGATAAGAGAAAACTAATAGACATAGGTATCAAGCAAAAGAGAATCAACATATACTTAATTGGATAAACTAAAGAAGGAATCCAAACAGAACAAAATAGCTTTTTAAAAATTTATTTCAGGCCAGGTGTGGTGGCTTACACCTGTAATACTAGTACTTTGGGAGGCTGAGGCAGGTGGATTCCATGAGATCAGGAGTTCAAGACCAGCCTGGCCAATATGACAAAACCCCATCTATATTAAAAATACAAAAATTAGCCAGGCATGGTGTTGCACACCTGTAGTCCCAACCACTTGAGAGGCTGAGGTGGGAGGATTGCTTGAGCCCAGGAAGTTGAGGCTACAGTGAGCTATGATCATGGTAATTACATAGTAACCACCTGGGCAATGGGAGTGAGGCCTTGACTCAAAAAAAATATATATTTCAAGTAAATGTTACTAAAATAATACTTCAATCTACATATTAAAATTGCACATCACATAGCAGCAAAAAATTAAACCAAGTGATTTCTATCAAAACAACAAAGAGTAAAAGCATTAGGTTTCAAAGATAAAGAATAATATCTTTAGATAGTCAAAGAAAGATCAAGCCGCATGAGAAGAAATTTCAGATCAGTAGTATTCACTAGCAAGAGACAGTGCAGCAGTACCTATAAGACATCCAAGAAAAGAAGGGATGAGCCAAGGACTATATCAAGCCCCATTATCTTCTAGGTATCAATGCTTCAGATATATTATCTGAACCTGCAAGAACTCAAAGAATAATTTTCACTTGGGACTTTTTTTTTGGAAACCACCATAGGACAAACTATAGCCAACCAAGCGATGACAATGGCAACTTTAGCCAAAACAAACAAAAATGGTAGCAAATACTGTACATGCAGATCTGAGACCAAAACAAATGTGATTTTAAGTGTGACTGAAGGAAATATAAACGTTATATGCTCAGACAGCACTGAAATAGTATAACTAACAAAAAATAGAGATATGGAAGAGAAGGTAAAATAAACTCCCTTATTGCCTGATCATTTGCAAGACTGGGAGTGAAAGCAACCATAGACACATGTGAGTATTTCACATTAATATTAAATGCAAAATAAACACTAAGATAATACAAATGATACAAATTTACTGGTAGGGAAGATAGAAGGGGTGAAAGGGGGGAAGAATACAAGAAAAGTTTATTGTTGTTTATAAGAAGGAACCAATTTAAACTGTCTAAAGATAAAGAGGAATAACAGTATTATATAAATTTAAATGTATATAGGTCACCACTAGAACCAAATTTTGAACCTTCCTAAACACCACTATATATTTTAATAGAAAGCAAATATACACATACATATGTATTATAAAATATGAAATAATATGACGAAACCAAGTCTATAAGTATCACTCACAGTAATAAATGTAATTATGCTTAAAACTCCTAATGAAAGAAAAACAGCTTTTAGTTGAAGCAAAATTCAGCTGTGTTACATACAGGAGACAAACCTAAAAGTGTTTCAGACAGATTAAAAATAAAAGGCAGGATAAAATTATACCAAGCAAATTCAAATCACAATAAAAGCAAAGATAATAATTTTAATATCCCATAAGTTGGACATCAGAACCAAGATTATTAAATTACACTAAAATAGGTACTTTATATGTTAAAGATTATGATTTTCAGTGAAGAGTTATGAATCTTTATGTAGCAAAATATGTATGTAGCAGCAATTTTAATAAAACAGAAGTACATGAGACACAAGAAAAATGATCAAAATATGCTACTAATTATCGTTAAATTATTTTATGATAGTTAAAATAATTATAAAATTATTAATTTACTTTAACTCCTATCTTCATGTTTAAGGTATATAAAGATAAGCATAATAAAAGATTCAAAACAACTTATCAAGAAAGTAGAGCTGACTGGGCACAGTGGCTTATGCCTGTAATCCCAGCAGTTTGGAAGGACGGGGAAAGAGAATCTATTGAGCCCAGGTGTTCTAGACCAGCCTGAGCAACATAGCAAGACCTCATCTCTACAAAAGTTAGAACTTTATCCAGGCATCATGGCACATGCCTGTAGGCCCAGCTACTCAGAAGGCTGAGGCAAGAGGATTGCTTGAGCCAGGGCAGTCCAGGCTACAGTAAGCCAAGACTGCACCACTGCACTCCAGCCTGTGTGATAGAGGGAGAACTTGTCTCAAAAAAAGAAAGTAAATCTGATGTGTATATAGCAAACTCTATATACTAATAATAAAAAAAACTTCAAGTGTCTGTTGAAATATTAATAAAAATTGATTGTATATTATGATGTGCCCTAAAACCTCTGTAAATTTTAAAACATAAAAATAAGCAACATTCTTGGTTAATCTAGAAGTCTTTTTATTTCTTTTATTTTTTTAAATAATTTTTTCATTCTTTAGAGATGGGTCTTGTTACATTGCTCAGGCTGGTCTTGAACTCCTGGGCTCAGGAAATCTTCCCCCCTCAGCCTCCCAAAGTGTTGGGATTATAGGTGAGCCACTGCACCTGGCCCAGTCAGTTTGGAAGTCTCCAGTGGAGGAATGCTTCCACCATGGGACGCAGCAAGAGTTCCAAAAATTAGAGTTGCCAGATTTAGCAAGTAAAAATACAGGGTGCCTAGTTAAATGTGAATTTCATGTAAACAATGAACACATTTTTTAGTTTAAGTGTGATCCAAATGTTGCATGGAACATACACTAAAATTATTTGTTGTTTATCCGAAAATCAAGTTTAACTGGGCATCCTGTATTTTACCTGAAAACCCTAAATTAAGTTTGGAAGTTGAGACCTGTCAACTCTGGACCCTCATGCAAGTGAATGAAAGGCAAAGAAGGAGTCTACTCTGATGGTTGGAGAATCCTGATAATGATGGGAAATGTTAGATTGCTTCTGCACAGTGATGGTAAAAATGAGTATGTTTGGAATGCAGGAGATTCCCTGGGGTGCCTCTTTATACTCCCATGCCCTATAATTAAAATCAATGAAAAACTATAATAACCCAAATCAGGCAGGACTGCTGATGGCCCAGACCATTCAAGAATAAAGGTTTAGGCGACCGCATTGGGCAAGAACCAACGTCAGATGAAGTGCTTGCCGAGGGCAAAGAGAATATGGAATGAGTAACAGAAACATGTTGTTATAAATACCTGCTACAACCACATGACTAGTTGCATAAACAAGGACCATAAAAGTTGTGAATGTTTCTTTCTTATTTTAATATAAATAGATATTACACTAATTGTGTTTCTCTTTACCCCTTTCTTTCCCCTACTGTATAAGATGTGTTAGTAGTGGCTTACCTTACATCTCAGTATTTAAGTTATAGAATATCAAAGGGGAGATATGACTCAGCTCAAAAGGAATTCTCTTTTAGGAAGAGTATTTCCATGTTTCCAGGTGTATGAGGGATAGTTGCATTATGTAAAATGTATTATTTTGCTATTGGCTTTATTTGGAAATTAAGCTAAGTATGCTTAAGACTAGTGTATACAAATACCAAATTTGACAAGGGGTGAGCTGTGGTAGATTTACGTTGTGTCAACTTAGCTAAGCTGTAATTATGTTTCCCAGAATTCTCTTCCATACATAATGCCAAGTTAGTATGTCCCATAAAAGATGGTAGATGTGAATTAGTAGAGCCATACTCCACATGCTAGAAAGGTCAGGGCAGAGCACAGGATGTGACTGCAGTTCACAAGCACTGTTGTTTCTCTGTTCCACCACTTTGTTGGCAGAGGGCTCAACCAGGCCACAGCAGGGCCAGCTCCTGCATGATCTCCTCCTTCGTGTATCCTGGCTTCTGATCCAAGTGCATTGGCACTGTGACGAAAGACAACTTCTACAGGACGTACCCATTTTTGAAGTTGAAGGCTAAGGGGCAGTGAAAGAACAAGATGAATTCTAGTTTACAATGGTGGGCTTTACTCACTCATCTTTGCAGATTCCAGTTTGTCCTTGAAGCACTCAGTTCATGTCTATCTTCCCTTCCTGACTCCCTGCCCTGCTGACTTCAGGCCACAGCAACAGACATTGAAGGAACAGCCTCCTGTACACACCATTTAGCTATCTCCCACACCTACGTCAAGTCATGTCCCTACAATAAATCCTGTGGTTCTATTTCTCCAGGTAAATCCTGACTGACATAATTAATGTAAGTA